ATTATAGTATTTTTTTTGTATATGAATATTATAGTATTTTTTTTGTTTAACCAGTAAGAGGAGTAAAACGTTTAGCAGATAAATCAATTTGTTATGTCAATTTAAAAGACAAACTGATACGTGTGATGTTTAAACATGCTATTGGTGCGCAGTTAGCACACCTCATGAAGGTGCGAGAGAGCTGATGACCTCTCGCCTCGGCCCCCCGACCTGCGATGAGAGAAGGAAAACCCCTGTGAATTGTTTGAGGTAATCACTGTAGTATCTGATGTGGGGGGCGTGCCCAGTTTCTGTGAAAGTCCAGGCATCCTGATACATATCTAAGAAACATGCATGTGTAAATGGCACATTAGCAAAACTTCTAAGATGAGATAAGGTATAGAAAATAATGTAGTGGGTTTTACAGATTTATTTCAAATTAAGCTAAAGATATTGTAGGTAAACGCAGATAAAAAAAACACATTGTAAACTAATATTATCAGTCTGTAGCCTACTAAAGTGTTATCTGGATTTTATCAAAAATATAAAAAATGAGACTTGAGGGAGATTCCCCAAAATATCCCCATTCACATCAATTATGCTTGTTAACATTCAACTATTTATTTTGTTTCAATAAATGTGGATTATGAGAAAAGATAATTTCAAGTTCATGCCATACCATTTAATTAGCCTACTTACTAGGCTACTTTATGCAAATGAGACCAGTGTATTTCTGTATAGCCGACTTGTAAGTACCAAGACAATTATTTTCAGGGGATTTTTGCTGAATTGTGGGATTCTGCTTTGTCATTAGTTCTTCTTTCAGTTGTCGTTTTAGAGAAATCGGTATGCTTGCTTTCGCAAACTGATGGGTGCGCGCTGACATGCACGCGGGTGTCTGAGTCTGATGCTGTCCGCTGATTGGTCACCTCGCATCCCACAGCTCAGCCTACTATCATTTACTATTCGCGCGCTCTCAGTGGATCCGCACACTTGCTTGAGATCGTGAGTTAATAGCGCGTCGCACATCAGCTTCCTGGAGATATTTATAAGGATCATACGCTTGAATGTCACAGTCGGTGTTCGTATGACTTGGGAATACGCAGCGTGGTTTAAGACTTTTTAGTTGAATATGTTTTAAGTATCTTTTTCTTTGAAGTGTGTGATTATTATATGTTCGGAGGTTCTTGCTCAGCCATTCAACGCCAAACTTCTGCTGATCTGATCTACAGCGGAGTCTCTGTCCCTGTCGAGGTGAGAAACGCAAGCGATGTTTAATAACATGCTTCACCTGATGTTAGACGCCGCTTGTTTTTGCATGCATTTTGATATTGTTTCACAGTGCAACCTCTTCTCTATATCCGTCAGTCAATAAATGACATGCAAACAAGGCAGAATCCAGTTTCTTATATTTAAACATACCCAACACATATTCGTTGCTGATTATAGCCTAGTCATTGCTTTCTTATTAACATGAGTATTAAGAATCTAGGCTACGGCTCTGGTATGTTGGCGGTCCTGAATGTGACCTCTCACAATATCCTATGCACAACAAATACAGTCCCATATGTACCATAATGGATGATTACAATGTATTATTGGTTATTTATGGTATTGTTTGTGTTATTAAAAATCTAGTTTGCCTTTTTGACTGGTCTGATAGTTTGATAGTTTAATTGATTTAATCTTTAGACTTTGATACTATTATACCATGATTATAATATTTATATACCTCACTCGTTATATAGTTAAAGAGATACGGATATCTTAGGGAATTAAACATTTTTGATTCCAAGTCTTTAAAACTCATGGGGCTTAGCAGCTAGTGAAATCTTAAAGTATCATGAAAGGCCATTACATTTGTGTGTGTGAGAGATATAAATTTACAGTAAATTGGCATAGGAAAATAGTGTACATAATGTGTACTAAACAGATGGTGTGCACTTCAGAATGAAGATGGCAGTTTTATGGAGTTTTGTGTGTTCAGTGGGGAAATCATTTTCATTTGTCCTGTTATAGCTAGTAGTGGTGGATTTCTTGTGGATGGGTGGTTTTGGGAACTGGAGGGCTGTTGCTGAATATTCCCCTGTTGATTTCAGATGATCAGTACCCATGTGTTCCTCTCCACTATCAAGCTATTTTGGGAATTAAGCAGATTGTCATATCTACTTGATAAATCTGTGTTTATTGTAGTTTTTTTGAATTTCTTTGAAATAAGGGTTTCTTGTCTTTTCAAAAATTGTGTAAAGAAGTGTGTCCGAGGCACTTGATTTTGTTTTGAAATGCTGATCTGCATCAGGTTGCTGTGATTTGGCTGAACTTTGCCCCTGTGATACAAGTCATGCAGGTCGCTCAAAGTGCTTTTTTTACAGTGCGAAGGACGGTATGCCCTGTCAGACAAGCCCTTTATTTACTCAGACACACTTGAGTAGTTTCACTGAAGCTTTGGCTCCCTTCCCCCATTGTCTTACACACATACACACCTGCTCATTTCTCATATAATCCACTTTGACAGAAAAAAAAACTTAGATTCAATATCATCCTTTTGCTCAATTTATTTGGAAACTGGCAATGCTGTGTCATGCGGGCGTCTATGACAGTGTCTTGAGCCGACATGTTTATTTCCTCATTTCCTAATATTCGTAACGTCATTTCCACTCATTTGGATTTTATAGATTATTTTTATATTAAGATTACACTCACAAAGTTGATAAAATAGAAAATGTAATAAATAAAATAACATTCTTATTTACAATAATTACATTACCATGTGTTATTAGGATCAATTTCCATGGAAATCATGAATTTTACAATTCCTTGATAGGTTCCATGAATCGTGTATATTGCAAATGCAGAGGTAAAAACCACAAAACCCATACATTCTGGGCTGTTTTAAAACCGCATCCTCAACAACAGAGTTTGTTGAGCTCATTGGCATGATTTTAGAAGCTGTAAAGTTGTTGTAAGTCTACTCTTTAAAGGTCGCTTCATGCTGAAAAAAAAACAACAACAACCAAGGATCAAGCTCTAACAAATAGGAAGGACTGTTTACTGTTGTCGTGCTGACAGGAAGACATGATTCCCAATCATATTCCTCTAAAAGATCCAAACAAACAAATGCCTGCTGTATGACAAACAAGAAATTAGTATAAAAATCATGGAAATTTATTGGTCAATCAGTTTATTTGTCTTACTTAATGTTGCTTTATGCTTGAGGAAGTCTGTTGTGAGAGACGCAGTAATCAATACTACAGTCATCAACATGGGTGGGACTGAATGTTTTCAGCTTTCTGAAAGACATAACTATCTAAAATGCGGCCGTGGATGGATGCCAAATATTCTACATAGTCAAAATAAAAGCTCTGTCAAATACAGTGCAGCAATTGTGTGAAAGGATGGACCTTTTTGTTTGCTTACACACTATACGGTCCCTGTTGTGAAGGCTGTGCTCAGTGTTTGTTTAGGAGAGGGGAGAGGACATGTGGCGGGCCATACTTGACACCTGCAACCAAAAAGTAAACACATCCAGATTCCCTGCTACTACTAATCAGCTTCGGCTTTGTTTTATTCACTCTCAGAATTAAATTGGGATGCAGCTGGTGTGCCTAGTGAGTTTAAAAGGGCTTTGGCTTTTTCTGTTGCAGTTTTTAGCAGATTTGCATTGTGGCCTGGGGGCTTCGCTAATAGGTTTGCATCGGCAGATGCGCAGGAGGATCCTGCATTTTGGCCGTAAGTGGATTTAAGTCAAAAACAACAAGGTGGTTTATTTCTTTGCATGTTTTGGCCAATGCTGTACAGCAGGCCGAATGTGAGACGAAGAGTAATATCCCAGTAACTGATTACTGGTTCCCAGAGAGGCATCATTCATGCAGGACTTGACAAATTGTCAATTTCTGGTGATGAGAGCAAAGTCACTCGCTTTTCAACTCATTGACTTGCTCAGATGGTATAACACATGGTAAAGCAGATGCGCGGAGGGCATTTCTTCTTTGACCTATTGGGGCTCCATTTTGATGCTAATGTCTATGGTTTTATGAAGGAGGTCTCAGTGGGGGCCATGTACGTCCTCATGCGACACCCCCTCCCTCCTGTGCACTCCCGTCCGACTCTGGCACCCGAACGTCTGTGAGCCTGAATAGGCAGGCGGCCATTGGGGCCACACATTGTTTGGGGTGTCCCTTGACGCCCCGTGCCTTAGCTGTGAATGCCTCCATTGAGGGGCCCATATGCGCAGTGTCCAGGAATCTCGCATAAAGTCACGGGCTGAGCTCTGAAATGGCACAGAAGCTCGTGCTGGCATGCTGGAGCCGCCCGCGTGATTAGGTGATGCATTGACATGTGCAAAGCTCACTTTCTGCCGTTCCACGAGAGCCTGGAAGATACAGAAGGGAGATATAGGAGGGAGGGAGGCAGTGTGAGTCAGTGCTCTTTGTGTGGGTAAAGAACTGCATTTGTCTGCTTATCACCTCTAGCTAATGGTGACCGACTCACAGGACTCTCATCTGTAAAGGGCCACGTTTTGGTTTTGAGAGGGGGCGTTATGTGGAGAGAATCCTTCTTTTCAGAAGCACTAGATCTCATAGGTCATCGTGTTTTTCTTCGCATCAAACCATGGTTAAAAGAGCCTCTGTTTTGTACATCCACGTGAGGTAAAAGCAGCATGTTTGTGAGCGGTGGGATGTTCAGGTGATTTATGGTGGATTAGAGCTAGCGAATGTGAGTCTGAAATGCGCACTGAATGGAGATTAAATTCAAGTTCTCTTAGGCTCAATCAGGGAAGGTGTTTGCACATTGAGATTAATCGCGACGGATTCATCCCCATGAGTCGTCCATCCGAGGAAGAGTAATTTTCCACTCAGCTTCATATAATGATACTGGGGACTTTGTGTTTTACACAAATGTAAACAAACTTTTCTGAGGAAAATGAAGGCTCAGCATTAACAAATTGGTTCATACGTTAATGTCTGTTTTTGAGTGTGTTTGCATTCATCTGAGGCTCATAAGACTATATCCTTCAACAGGACAAAATGCCTCAAACGCCACCCTTTCCAGTGATGTATGGGCCCAATGGATACAACAAGAATATTTATAAGGCCAAGGAGGAAGACTACGAAGGCCTGTATTACCATGACAACACCCTGGTGTCGGGGTCCTTGGAGGCACTTATTGAGCACTTGGTCCCTACAGTGGCGTACTATCCTGATGTGAGTATAGAGAGTATCAAAAGTATTCAGCCTTATTCTGATATTGTATTTTGAGTATTGAAAACACATGGACGCTCATTTTTATGTCTCAAATTATTTTTTTAAAATGTCAAAACTGTCTAACTATCATCAACATTTACTGCCTCCTTCAAAAGGTTGGGTTCAGTATATTTTTTTTAAATAAAGAAATTAATACTTTTAAGGACCCATTAAATTGATCAAAAGTAGGATTTCTATTTAATCTGTTGTTCTTTTAAACATTCAATTTATCAAAGAATCCTGAAATCCGATCCGATCGCTGTTTCCAAAAAAATTTAATAAAAAAAAAACTGTTTTCAACATTGATGATAATAAGAATGTTTTTTTGAGCACCAAATACTGTATATATATTTTTTAAGGATCATGTGACACTGAAGACTGGCATAATGATGCTGAAAATTTAGCGTTGCCATCACAGGAATACATTTTAAATGTATATTAAAATAGAAAACAGATAAATATTAATTTTTTGTTTAAAATAGATATTTTAAACTAATATTACTATATTTATGATCAAATAAATACAGACTTGCTGGGCAAATCTTCTTTTGAAAAAACAACAACAACCCCAAACTTTGTAACAGTAATGCAGCTTACTAGTTATATTCTCCAGAAATATAAATGTATGTAATTAACTCTGGGATTTATTGTAGTTAAGTTCAATACTAGTTTTGTTTAGATAGAACAATGAAAACATATTATTGCAAACTTTGATCAAATTTTTATTGACTTGCAGAGGACATACATCTTCACGTTTCTGCTCAGTTCCCGTCTCTTTACTCATCCATATGAGCTGATGTCCAAAGTGTGCCATTTGTGTGTGGACCAGCAAAGGCTCAGTGATCCTCAGGCGGACAAGGTAAACTGGCAAAGCCATGATGTATCATTACACTGATTGAAGGTGTCTTCAGTCGTAATGGTTGCTCTAGCTTTAGCAAGGAACTTTTAAGAATCTAGAGACAATAATTGCAATTGCATTGTTTATTTTTACTTGATCTATAGGCAAGAGTCAGGAAAATTGCTCCTAAGATCCTGCAGTTGCTGACTGAGTGGACCGAGACGTTTCCCTATGACTTCAGGGATGAAAGGATGATGAAGAGTCTGAAGGAACTAACACATCGTCTGAGTACTGGAGATGAAGTAAGTCTGCCGCTTCCAAGTGTTTGGTGATAATTTCAGCAGAAACAATGAGTTTTTTATTCTTAAGGAAATGTCAGCTAAAGGGCAATGCCGTTTTAAAATAATAGTCACCTAAAGGTGAGAATACTTGTCAAAGACATTAGCGTTTCTTTATACCTTTAGTACCACTATTAGCATAGAGAGAATAAAACATTTTTGCATAAGTCTTAACATGGCTTCTTTAAAATTCGGCTGCTTAAGACATAAGATGGAACACGCTGGGTGAGAAGGTGTCAACACCTGGGCATTGGGGAGTGAGATTTCTTTAGACCTAAAGTGCTCTGACAGAAGTGAGAATAAAGCTCTTTTGTTCGACTGCTTTTGTCTTCACTGGTGCTTTTCCACAGGCTGCATTTAAATTGTTCCATTAGCCCTGATGTTACCATGTTCTGGCTTAGCATTTTTTTTCCTCAAAGGGATTTTTCACCACATTTGGGATAGTTTATGCTAAATTCTTAAAAAAAAAAAAAAGCAACACTCTGATCAGATTTTATTTTTTACATCAGGTTCTGTTGTTCCCACATACTTTTGCTGTTTATCGGTCGATGCTGAGGCTGTCACTTCCTTTTCAATTTGAATAAAGTTGGCAGCTCTCATTAAGATTTGTCCTCGAATGTCCCTGTGAACATTTGTCTCCATTGTCCGCAGTTGAACAGTCCTCCTCTGTCTGCAAATCTTAAATTTTGTTAATGTACAGTGAAAAAGATTTGCCCGAGCAAGGTCTGGTCATCTCACATGGTTGTGAGCATTAGTGTAATGACTAACAGCAGGGAGCTAGTTAGAATAGACAGTTTAAGATGGAGGGCGCTGACCCATCAGATCCAGAATCGAATGATGTTTCTCTAACTCGAAAAGACAAGAAGGACTCATCCTCCAGTGTCTTCTGCAGTAAACACATGTGTGGTTATTGATCTGCTTCATCCTGAGCCTGGAGATCGATGAGCTTCTGCTTCCCCGCTACGCTCATGGAGGAAATGTGTTCGTGTTGTACCGCCTCTTTAATCTTGTGAAAGGGTGATCAACTAATAAGACTACATGTAGAGTACACTCAAAAGATAACACGGAAAGCTAAAACTGTATAAGGGTCAATGATGTAGTTGACCTATTTTATTTAAAAATGTATTATAACCAAATTCATGCATACAATAACCTGAACATGCCTCTTATATGATGAATTAAGTTTATTTTTCTATCAAAAATGCTGAAATTAAACATGAAACCAACATGAATACAAGAGCAATATATTAAAAGTATATATTTTACCCCTATGTCACTGACCCATAATAATGAAAAACTCATCAAAGTCTCTTTGATCTTTACATCTACTACGTAGGCGAGACAAATTTAATCTGTGTAGATGTGTATCTGCCTGAGAAGAGCGTCTCAAAGCATGAAGAATGCATTTGTTCAGACCATCAGTATGCTGTCTGTATTATGTAATTCAGTCCCTGTGTTTTTCCCCTTCATTTGTGCGGCATGTACTCGTATGTGAATCGCGGGGTAATGGCAGTCTATTACAGTAGAGCACTGACTCTACATTGACGGGGGATTCACAGCAGCCACACAATAGACAATAGGTGTATTTATAATAATAAATGAGACAACATGTGTGGTGTATTTTCAAATGTACTCTCCAGTGCTCACAGCCCATCATAACAAGATCACTATAAGTGGTTTCCAGTTAGGCCTTTTAGGTTTTGACCTCTTCTGGACCTCATCGGTCCTGATGAGTTTCCCAGCAGTTGTTTGACCTGCTGTTTTCCGTCTTTTTACTGGCAATTGCATTGCAGATCTCTTGCTTTCGGTGCGGGAGCTAAGAATAGATGTTGTAACATCTGTGTCCAGACTCCAGACCGCAGTTTGGTCTTCAGGCTTCTTGTCTGCTTAGTTCACCATTATGCATGTGGTCTTCTGTATAGGAAAGGCAGTGCACAGTTGCATAATTGTATGTAGATCCAAGCGTTTGGTGCACATTTGGACACATTTTGAACAAATTCTGTTTATTGGGCAAGTAATGGAGAGCTTTTCCCCTTGACCTGGAGAAATCCATGCCAGAGTCATCTGTACGGCTGTCGCACACTCGTGCCAGGGTTAAAAATGTGGAGGCAGCACACAGGCGGCTTTCTTATTTTTTCACAACAAGTAAGTTGTCTGATTTGCTGTATTAAAATGTCAAGCAGTTATCGCCAAGAACTCCTGCTAAAAATAATCTCCCTTTCCTCTGTTTGTGTCAACATGGTAGACCTTGGAGAGGGAACTATTAAAGATTCTCTGTGATTCTTTAAAGTGCTGCTAGGTCTCCTGCTGTTCTCTCGCTCTCTCAAATCATCAATGTGCTGGAGTGCACAAGAATGCAGGTTGTTCTCGAATGTTGAGTCAAATGGATTTATGTGCCAGTGACCTCCTGCACATCAGATTAATCAGTCAAAGGAGTACAGAAGCCCGACAGAAACAAAAGAAGTTTTGTACATCCTGCACTCATTTAGGAAAACCTTGGACCGTTCACAGCAAGAATGATAATTATAACGGTTACTACATTAGCGCCCACACCAACGGGCAATATGGCTGTCAAATTTTGTATCGTTCCTTAGCTGGAAAAAATCGTAAATTATTGTAAGAAAAATCACGAAATACTTCTTAAAGCAGGCAGATGATGTAGATTTTTGTCTGACTGATGTTGAGCAACAGGGCATGACCGCTGCGGTCCTCTTCTTATGCAACAGAAGTCCAGAACTGTGTCAGGCTCTTGTTATTAGATAACTCAACCTCATCTTGTGTTACGAGGGGAAATGGGAGGCATGCAGGGGCTCTCGTGAACCTTTTGAAGAACCTTTGCTGTTTCGTAATCTTCCATTAACTGTTTATGTAACATACTACCCAACCCTATCTTGGAACGATAGACCAGTCATTGCTGGCCAGTCAAGTGGAAAGGGCTGAAAATCCCATACCCATTAGAACACTCTGTGTATTCGCTCAGCTTTCGTGTCAGTGCAGGACACGTCTAGCTGTCAATCCTTTCAAATGAATGACTAGCAGGTAATTCTGGTCTATAAAAGCATGGTTGTAATGAAATCCACAACTTCTGTCTCCTCTTCAGCTCTATCGTAAATCGGTGCAACAGATGACACAAACGCTGATCCGTAAGCTCACCACACTGAGTCAGTATGAGGAGGCCCTGGCCAAGATCAACTCGTCTGTGACCGACAGACTAACTGTTCTGAAGACCAAACCTCAGTCCATCCAGAGAGACATTCTGACCATCTGCAATGACCCCTTTACCCTGGCACAACAACTCACACACATTGAACTGGTGAGAGGAGCTTCCTCTGTTTACATGACCTTACATTCCTCACCTCACTGTGGGTTTGGGTGGATTTATTTACAAAATCAATAATCCGTGTAGTTATTTTCAATGCTACCATTTGGACTTACTGCAAATGATACACTGACTTCATTTTTATTTTTCAGGAAAGACTGAGCTACATTGGACCAGAGGAGTTTGTTCAGGCGTTTGTTCAGAAAGACCCTCTTGATAACGACAAGGTAACAGTCCCATCCTGTTTATGGTCAGCAAGGTTAACTAAAAATACATTCAACACAAATGGTATGTCTTTCGCTCACTGCAGCAAACAACCAACTTGGAGAAATCAATACGCACAATGTTTACGTTAATTCTCGGGTTCAACGCCGTGTCACCTTTTTCACACAGCGTTCACAGCACATTCCTTGTCTAATCTGTCATTGTCCAAATTTCCCTCCTCACGTTCCTCACAGTGTCCTTTTGTGGCCAAAGCCTAGCAACTGGTTTCTCACAATAACCCGCCAAAAGTTTGCTTAGCCCTGCCTCGTAATGCCCATTGCCGCTTGGCTGCTAGGCAGCAGCTTGTGTCGAGGCATTGCTGATGCGATTTTTCTCTTTTGTTTTGATCGTCGTCTCTCCAGAGGGTCCTTGTGCACTGGCTCTCTGATGTTGTCCATCAAAGGTAGAGTAGGGTAGATTGTGCATTGTGGGACGGACGACACAGTCCGACTGTAGGAATGTGAGGAATGAAGGGTTAGAGTGACCCAAGCTTTCAGACAGAGCGTCCGCATACATTCCCTTAAACAGACAATAGCTCGAACTCTCTGATTGAATGCATTGTTGGAGATCATCAGTCATCTCAGAGGCCTTTGTTTCTTGGGTTGGGAATGTAGGAATCGCATATCTCAGCATTCAGAGGTTTGTGAGATCATGTCAAGAGCGATTTACAAATGATAAACTTAAATGGCTTTCAAAATTCCTGCAGTTAAGAATTTAGGATAAAAAATATATGCAATGATATTGAAAAAATAAATAAATACACAAGATGATTAAGTCAATAAATAAAACAAGACAGATAAAATCAACACATACATTTTGACAAATATTTTCCATCAATAGCTAAATGAACGCTCAGCTAAAACAGGAAATGTAAAACCCAACGTAAATATTATAAAATGCATAGGAATAGTAAGAACACAGTAAAACAGTGATAGAAGACAACTTCAAGGTCTCTCCATCATAGATATTTTTTGTATTTAACTACTTGGTTAAAAAAAAAACACGAAATTGGCTCATACCGATCAATTAAAAAACACATGGTCTTTAAAAAACCCAACAAAAACTAGAAAACATTGTGGCGTGATTTTCTAAATTAAGCACTTGACTTAGCTTAAGCTCAAGCTAAGTGTAATTATAATAGTGATACTGATCTTTTGAAATTTTGATTCTTGCAGAGATGCTTTAGTGATCACAAAAAAGCAAGTAACCTGGAGGCTTATGTGGAGTGGTTCAACAGGCTCAGCTACCTGGTGGCGACGGAGATCTGCATGGTAATTATCTGATCTTATGCTATGACTCACCTAGCAACTTAGTTATTTATGTTGCACTATTAGTGATTCTCATGTGATTTTAAATATAGGCTTTATAGAAAACATACACTGGGGTCAGAAAATTCATGTTCTTTCTATTCATAAACAAATGTTAAATAAAAAGTTATTTCAAATTGTAATATTTCCGTTTTTTAATAGTATTTTTTGTTAAAATGAATGCAGCCTTGGTTAGCATAAGAGGCTTTCAAAAAAAACTTTTATTTATATATATATTATATATATATATATATATATATATATATATCTCATTTAAAGGCTTTTAAGTATTTAGTGATCTTTGAAATCGGAATCCCTTTATTGATGGTCATAAATTGCTTGTTTTTCTTATGCAGCCTGTAAAGAAGAAACATCGGGCTCGAGTCATTGAGTTCTTCATCGACGTGGCACGAGAATGCTTCAACATTGGCAACTTCAACTCGCTCATGGCCATCATTAGTGAGTATTTTGATGTCCCTTGTAACACTTTGCTACAGAAAGCTCTCTTGTTCCCTACAAATCTGTTTGGATAAGACAGTTGCTGTTTTGGCAGGATTTGGTTTGCTTTTCTAATCCTTGCTCTTGTAAGCTTTACATGTGTCTTATAGACTATGCAAACACTATCAGGTTATTTGTGTTTGTGGAGTGATGCAGAGAGTCATATTTACCTGTGCGTTTAGGTTTAGATAATACAATTTTTAACCTTTACTGTATCTCAACTGTTCATTGTTTGGAAAATCTACAGATAATCTTTAGCTATATTATAATATATCTATATAAATATATATTCCAAACATTTGTATATTTGTTCGATTTCTATTGATAATGAAAGCATGCATCATATATTATATCAAAAATGATGATTAGCTGCATGTGCCTGAGGCATTATGGGTAGGGGAGCAGGAGTGGAGAGGGCCATGAGAGGAGGCAGCTGGGAACGAGGGAGCGGCATCCTTCAGGCAGATGGTCAGTGCTGACCAATCCAATAGACTGAGAGGGACGGACTCATTGAGGAGGGGATTGTGGGAGGGAGGGAGTGGAACCAGCTGTCCTTTCCCTGGTCATTCCCAGGAGACGAGCCTGTGGGCCATGGCTCTTACACAAGCCTCTCTCCCTAGAGATGGAGGGCTGATATTAAAGTCACTGGAAGAGAACAAACAAGTCATGGGAAAGGTTGATCGCTCCTGCTAGTGTTTTTTTGGAGGCAGCGTACATTGTGTGATGTGAATGGAGTGTCAGCGCGTGGCTAGGACAGAAAGATCCTTCGCACTAGTACCGTGTTAGTGTGACGGAGCAGCTCTGGGTCTGTCACCTGTTAATACGTACAGACAGATTGTTAATGGTACTAGGTCTCAGATGTCTCGTCTGGTGATGGACAGATAGTGCTGATATTGTTCGGGCTTAAAACTGTTGTATTTGGAGAAGAAAAGATCTAAACAAATGGATTTTCACATGTAGATCACAAAATATTCAGGAAAATGGGAATGCATGTTATACAAATATCTAATATTTATCAATATAATTTTTTTAACACTGCAATTATCAAATACAGCCTTGGTGAGCATAGGAGACTTAAAAAAAAAACTTATTTCAAAGTGGACTGAATGCTAAAATAATAGCTAAAGAATGTGCAATAGGAAAGTAAAGTTGAATTTTAATTTCATATTGATTTTAAAGCATCAAAAACAAGTAATGTTCCTTAACATTTAAGGAAGGCTTATTAAGAAATGATTCTGTCGTCAGTACAGACGAATCTGATTGGCTGACCCACCCCTAGTGATTTCCAGTCAATACTCTGACCTCATCTGGTCATTACTGCTGACTGCACAAGCCCACCGTGACCCTCGGCACTATAAGCTGAACTTATTGTCGGAGGGAAATGACGCTCTGCTAATGCCATTGTTCATGTGGGCTCATGGGCCTAACTGCTCTGTTTGCTACAGAGAAACTGCACCTCTGACAGGAAACGAGGTGTTGCAGTGTGCTGACCTGTGTCTGTTTCTGTGTGTCTTTCAGCCGGGATGAACATGAGCCC